GATTGTCCAACTGTACTTTCTTCATAATCAATAACCTACATGTTGCCTATCGTTGCACATTACACGACACTGTCATCTCAATTCTGACTGGTTCACTCGGAGTTGTCACATTATTGTGAGATATGTTGATAACTGCATAAAACGGCATTGACATCAATCATGACCTACTATATATATTTGACCGATAGATAGTTAACATTTATGGGTATCATCACACAATATAATAATTATCCATTGTAATCGGTTCATGACTAATGAATTTTCTAGGTTCCATGTTCTTGTTGTTGTTGGTGGTGTTGGTGTTGACGTATGTGTATGTCAAATGTCTATTTGTGTACGAGTGAAAAAAATATGATCAGTCGACATATGATTTTTGACAAATGATCACAATCACATAGTGTGTTCGTTCACATGTCAATTATGTTAATATGTTTTTCGACGTTTTATTTATGAATATACCAACATGATATAGATGTGTGGTTCTGTCTGTATTTTTATCATTCAACTTTCTCATGTTCATATCATTTGATAGGACTGGTTTCTTTCTGTTAGTAGTATAATTGTTAGTAGTACTGTGATCTTACCGAAAAGTTCAGAATAGATGGAATTTGTATGCCTGTATGTTTAGGGAAGACTGTATTTACTGACAAACTATGTACACAATTGATTTGGTCTTCCATTTGTAAACCAAGTAGACTATTGACTCTCTTCTACTACACGTTCACTCATCTTCAGAAAACTTTGATCGCAATATACTGTCCTATCCGACACTTCTTTCCTGTATTACCTTCTCGTCAATACCCAGTTGCATACTACTTATGTGACACTTTGTGAGTAGTATCCACCACAATAGTACCGGAATTCACAGAATGTGCACCTGGTGCCGCTGAGTAGTCGTCTACTGGATGTATTTCCATTCTACATTAGATGTTCATTCCGTTATTCAAACCAAGTAAAAAGAGTTGCTACTTTAAATGCCAGTCATCTTATTCACTTAACTAATGAGTACAAATAACCAACGATGTGTAATAATTCAAATACTTTTCAATAGTAACATAAATATCCTAACCATTGCACAAGTGGACAGTTATCTGAACTTAAGGATCCACGTTCAACTGACAATGTATTTTGTTCGAATCACGGAGTGAACTTCTACTCTTGAAAAGCGTACAAGCAAAACGAAGCGCAAAGGAGGTTGGCTCACTTGCCTTCTCTAATGCGCTTCGTTTCGCTTTATACGCATCCCATTCTCATGTCTGTTTGCATAAGTGCATGCATGAAATAAATCTATCCACAACGCCTATACAGTCGCACAAACGGAGTTAGCCTAATTATAATATACGGAAATGAAAAGGAGGATTTATTTCATCACATACTCGATCATTCTGTGGTGCGCGCTACTTATAAGTAGTATATGACGTGAGTGAAAACGTAATGTCTGGTGGCAGCAGAAGATGGGGGAAGATCAAGAAAGTAAGAAGAGTGGGAACACAATGGAATTTGTATGAAACGCATGAATAGTGAGTGAAATATCAGACAATGGATTGAAGATTTTCAAATTTCACCGTTTACGATATGGTTTTCCTATTTTACTGAGTAACTCTGCCCTCACCTTTGTTCTCCTTTACTTCAATTCGTTCACACTGTATAAAATTCAGTAGTGATACATTAGCCACCACAAATTGATAAGCTAGACATGATATCTAACTCACTTACTACAAATTGGTGAACCGCTCGCTACAAGTAGACTCTTTTACACTCTCAACGATGCCAGCAGTGTATGTCGGGGGGGGGGCTATCGATCTCCAGTAAAATACAATAGCACTGCAAAGGTAATCAGGAAAAAAAATAAAGAAACTCGTATTTTTATTTACAATATTTGCTCATAAAATAACCATTTCAAACATTCTTTGATTAGTTAGACACGTTTACTTGTCGTACGTACGTACGTACGGCATTCATTATATGTGAAAACTGAAATTAAAAAAAACCACATCAGTTTTTCATTCAGGGTTGAAAAGGTCAAATACATAAAAAAAACGTGTGTTAATTGTTAAAATAAAAAAACCAGCATATTATGTATGTATCCATATTTTAATAAATTATTAACTAATTATTTGAATAATAAATTTATTTAACTAGTGAAACCAAAAAATTCCTCGCATATATATTGGGGAAGCTAAAATTTATGTTGGCCACTGTTCTTTTTTTTTTTAAAGCGTTTCCATAAAGCTGAACTTAATTAAAATTTTATTCATTTGATTACAAGGCTATGATTATTTTTTTAAAGTAAGCATTGTTGTGGCGAGTTTCTTTTACTTGCTCGCTTACTTACTTACGTCTGTTACCCGACCATGGAGCATAGGTCGCCCACCAGTTTTCTCCAGCCAACTCTGTCCTGGGCTTCCCTTTCTAGTTCTTCCGAGTTTTTGTTCATTCTTCTCATATCTTTCTCTATATCTCGGCGTAATGTGTTCCTTGGCCTTCCTCTTTTCCTTTTGCCTTGAGGGTTCCATGTGAGGGCTTGTCTTGTAATGCAGTTAGATGCTTTTCGTAGTGTGTGTTCTATCCACTTCCACCTCTTCTTCCTGATTTCCTCCTCCACTGAAGGAATCTGGTTTGTCCTCTCCCACAGTTGGTTGTTGCTGATGGTGTCTAGCCAACGAATCCGAAGTATTTTGCGTAGACAACTGTTCATAAATACTTGTATCTTCTGGATGATGGCTTTCGTAGTTCTCCAAGTTTCCTCTCCATACAGTAGAACTGTCTTGAGATATGTATTGAAAATCCTGATTTTGGTGTTGAGTGATGGCTGTTTGGAATTCTGGTTTTTGCTCAATTGTAAAAATCCATCCCTTGCTTTGCCGATCCGCGCCCTCACATCTGCATCGGATCCATCTTGGTTGTCGATGATGCTGCCCAGATATGTAAAGGTGTTAACGCCCTTCAAAGAATCTCCATCAAGGGTGATTTGGTTGACGCATGTTGTGTTGTATTGTAGAATCGTACTTTTCCCTTTATGTATGATGAGACCTACTGCTGCAGAGGCTGCTGCTACACTGGTTGTGTTCTCTTGCATTTGTTGTTGCATGTGAGATAGAAGAGCCAGGTCATCTGCGAAGTCCAGCTGCGTCCTAGCTGTCCATTGATGACCGTGCTTCCCCCCAGATGTTCACGTCTTGATAATCTAGTCGATCACCAGGAGAAAGAGAAAGGGTGAAAGTAAGCAACCTTGTCTGACACCGGTCTTCACCTCGAATGAATCTGTTAGCTGTCCATCGTGTACGATTCTGCAGTTGAATCTGTCACAAGAATACCCAGTAGAAATATTAGCATTAATCGTAGACTCGTCCCGCGATTAGCAGACGGAAATCTCGCCAACGCTATGAGTGACACAAGTTGGCAAAAGCCAATCGAGTCTTCTGTATCCGTTAGGTATCAGGCTATCAGCACTGGTGATACTCTAAAACTCATAAGGTCGCGCGTTACCAGCTTCAAGCAGTTGCCCCTTGGGTTGTGCGGTCACGCTTCCAGGTCGGTAAAACCGACTCTAATCTACCTTACTTTTGAGGTTCCTCAAGAAACACCCACGGTGTGGGCAGCCGTGAAGTGACATCCACCATCATACCCGTAACAACAAACGATACCAAATTGGTCACAATAAAATCTTTCCTACACTCCCTAACATACCCCTTGTCTTCATGACTGACTGACAGTTTAAGATGATAATGGCAGTTTTCAAGCAATCTAATCTGGAAACTGTATCATTAACCATTAAGTTGTTGGATACATTTGAATCACGTACAGTTTTTTTTTAACTTAGTTTATTCATTTGTATTTTCACCTCGAATCACTCTGAGCTGAATCCAACTCCGAGAACAATACTCCATTATCTCATTTAAATAAATGGAACGTCTTACATTAATTTTGACTGACTACTTATTTCTTTCCTGCTTAGGTTACTAGTATTCGATCATAGACGCTCGTGTATCGTGGGACAACCGAGTGAGCATTGCTGCCATTAGGAAACGAGCTCCATCGATGAAGTGTTGAAACTTCATCAGTTGGGGTGGTTAAAGAATGTGTTACGAATGCCCAACCACCGACTGCCTCGACAAGTTATGGTTTGTGGTGCATGAGTAGATTGGAAGAAAGCTAGGGGCGCCACACCAATACATGGTAGAAATCCATGAAATCACTGACAAATTGACTGAGTCATGTTGTTAGATGTAGGCTACGTGGTTGGGGTCCGCGGGACGATAGTAACCCATTGTTAGAGACCTTGAATGACATGGCTTAGAATCGTTTGCAGTGGCGCAGGTGCATTTACTCTTTGTGTTCTCTCAAATCCTAATCTTCTGGATTCGTCAGCACCTCTACCTTCGTCTTTCTAACCTTATCGCACTGAATTATACTTCTTGAATAATACCCTGGAGCCGTAATCTTCTGTATTACCAGTAGTACTCCTACTGTCTCTATTACTATAGGATTTGAATTGACAATCGCGTCTCTGTGCTAATGTGGTATGGCAACGTGAACTGATGTACTTACATACGAAGTTTTACGTTGGATCTGACTGACTGCTGCGTAATCTAAGAAAACGGCACTGAAGTTCCTTTCCGTCTCTAGTGCGGAACTTATAAGAATTTCGAATCCACAACTCTGCCAGTGGGATTTTAAACTCAGGGCCTCTGGATGCAGACTCAGTGTACGAAAGGTGGTTAAACGTTCGCCTGCGTGACCAAAGATCCCTTGCGCTTGACTCACACTTGCAGAATCTTGGATGATCAATTGTAATAAGTTCCACACTAGAATGGTACGGTCGTCTTGCGATAACAGGTTTCAAACAGTGGTCGAACATTGATCGATTTTTATGATTCCATCGAAACTCAACAATCTGCATAACAGCCCTCCCGCCCCCGACCCATATTTTGACAATATTATATCATAATTTTTTCTCTTCATCTTTTGTTTTTCTTTTCTCTCTAATAATTATTTAGGTTATGAATCGTCATGGTACAGTTGTTATTCGACCAGATTCTGGTGATCCAGTTGTAATTATGCCCAAAGTATTAGATATATTAGGCAATAAATTTGGTTATAAGATAAATTCTAAAGGTTATAAAATTTTACCCGCATGTATACGAGTTATACAAGGTGATGGTGTTTCATTGGAGTCATTAGGTAAGTGGGAAAATTTAAAACACTGAAGAATTACTTTTTTAATACTCTTTCTTTTTGAAATGACTCAAGTCAGAACTGTCGATTAATTTCAGGTTGTGTACGTCAGCGTTTTTCTGCTTTGGTTGCCTTGCCAAATGTATTGAAGGAGAACACCGGTGAGGGCAACCGAATGTATTTAACGAAAATTACAGAGTTACTCAGTAAAATTAGGAAAACCATATCGTCGTAAATCGTTCATTTGCAAAAGATCAATCCATCATATCGAACTGGACTGTTCCTGTTGCCAAACATCAATCCATTGTCACTCACTATTCATGCGTTTCATACAAATTCCATTGTGTTCTTCTAACTCTTCCTCCTTTCTTGATCTTCCCCCCATCTTCTGCTGCCAGACATTACGATTTTACTCACGTCATATACTACTTATAAGTAGCTCGCACCACACTCGTCCCCCCCGCTTTAATTAGCTGTCGTCACTTTCAAAACAGGGACCCTGGTCAGTTAATATCACCTTCCGTATTCCGTGACACGCTACAATATGCCGGATTACCACTTTGGTCATTGTTCTTGCCCGCTGGTCTGGAATGGGTGCGGCATCTACCCAACGTGTAGCGTTTACTAGTTCTCGCTGCTGGGACACGGCCGCAGGCACACTCGATAAATTGCGACGCCAACAACTGTGCCCCTGACTCCACATCCGTACTCGGCAGCGTACGGCACAGCAACATCGTGAGCTCCACAGTCAGCACCAGTGGGTCACCATCAGCCGACAACCTCACCAACCGGAACCTCTGCGGCGTCTCCTCCCTGTCCACCAGGCTGTCGAACTCCGTCATCAGCCGCCCGGTGACCGTCTCCCACGCCGTCTTTCCGGCGGCACCGTCGAGGCTATCGAATACCGCCTTCGCACAACCTCCCCTCAGCGTCCCCAGCACCGCCAAATCCTCCCCGGGCCCCTTCCCACCCACCAGCTCCACCGCTGCCTCAAACTCCTCCAGGTAGCTACGCAACTCTCCGTCCTTCAACTCCTCCGGCCACGGGAGCTCCTTCCTTCGAGCAGGCAGCGACACCAAATGTAGTGAACGAGAACACATGTGGGGCAACCGAAGGTGTTTCCATTCTTTTTTTAGGTAAAACACTCGTTTTCTGGCTACTCAGGGGTTGATGTATTTACTATTTAGCTGGAAATATACCGATACTATCGTTCTATTTTGTGAAAACGATGACGAAATGTAGAGTCTTCTCACAACCTTCAACGACAATGCAATGGGCAGTTCAAATGCGAATCGCTGCTTCAGAATTAGCTTGCGTTGGGATTAGAACTAGTGACAAAGAGGGAAGTCGTTGAGCGTGTTGACTGCTTCACTTATCTTAGAAGTGTTATTAGTACTGAAGGCCTGGTATGTGACGAAATTTCAGCACGGACACTGGCTTTTGCTAGCTTGTGTCACTTATGGCGTTGGTGAGCTATCTGTCTGTGTTAATCAAAGGACAAGTTTACTATGTTACAGTTCAGTTCTACTTTATGGTTGCGAAAAATAGAGGATATTCGTAGGTTATAAATTTTCGACGGTCTTGGATTCCATTACTGGTAGCTTTGCGAAACACTGTGGGCTTAGTCATGTTGGTAGATATAAGCTATCTGGTTGAGGTCCGCGAGACGAAAGTCACCGATGGTCAGAGACCTTGAATGACATGGCTCCGAATCGTTTGTAATGGCGCATGTGCATCCACTCTTTGTGTTGTCTCTAATTCTAACCTTCTGAATTCCTCATAATCTCTACCTTTCTCCTTTTAAATTTATCTCACTGAATTATACTTTTCGAATCATATCTTCGCTCCCTAATCTTCTCCATTGTTGCTAATAATTCTACTATCACTATCACTGTTGGATTTGAACTGACAATTACGTCTCTGTGCTGATGTGGTATGGCAACCTGAACTGATGTACTTACGTACGAAGTTCTGCCTTGTATCTGTCTGTCTGTCTGTGAAACACTACTGATAAATCGTATACTTTATAATGATACAGCTATCTAGTGTGAATATTTCAATGACTACTGCATGCTGTTAACCTCACACCAAGTGTTCTCATGTCAAGAGCTCTCAATCGCATAATAGATAACTTTAGATCAGTTCGTCAGAGAATACTGTGATGCTTTTCACAATTTATGAATTTATTCAGTTCACTTACAATTGTGAACAAAGTATTCTTGTGTACCGTTAGCGTGATGAACACAATTACCAATTACCTAGTTCTTCACACCAAGATATGATACGAATTCTTAATTTACTTGAAAAACACACAACTGTGTTATGAGTGATGTTATTGTCCTAGGAGTACGAACTGTATTATCTAAAGGACAATAGCTTGAGACTGATCGCGGACGACTAAATTTTATTATGTTAACTCTTTAACCGTGAATGACATGGCTCAAAATCGTTTGCGATGGCGCAGATGCATCCACTCGTTGTGTTCTCTAAAATCCTAACCTTTATTTTTTTAAAGTTTATTTCACTAGATTCTACTTCTTGAATAATACCCTCGAACCCTAGTCTTTCCCATTACTGCTAATAGTTCTTCTATCACTACTACTACTATGGGATTCAAAGTGACAATTGCATCTCTGTGCTAATGTGGTATGGCAACTTAAACTGATATACGCACGTACTAACTGATAACATCCTGTCTCTATGAAACATTATTTGGGAGTTATTTCCATTATAGGGTTATGAAGATTGTTGAGTTGAGTTTCATTGAAATTCTGAATCAATCATTGTTATACCACCATGAAACAAAAGCCCTAGTATGTGACTCATCAGTGGCAGTGAGCATCCATTATTCCCGCCGGTAGGAATCGAACGCAGAACCTTTGGTCTCGCACGTGAATGCCCTCAATACTTTAAATCAATTAACGTAGGACATTAACACCGCTGAATGCTCGACTCAAAGTTCCAATCGTTAAGTTTTCGCACACCAAAACTGAAGCTCCTTGGTTCTGCTTCCTTCAGCGGAAATCGTGGAATGCTTACTGATATTGATGAGTCTCAATAATACTAGGACGAAACGGCCATCCAGCGCTTCTCAGGTGTTCTAATGACAGTCTAACAATGATCAATTCATAGTATTGTAGTGTGTCAATTTATTGTGTATTCTTAAGCTCGGTAATTAGCTCGTCCAGACAACCGTTACTAACTAGCGTCTGACGGTTAATAAATCAGAAGGTGAACTCGTAGTGATGAATACTTTTATTTGGGACACACAACAAAGTGAAGCGGAGAAGCAATGTGGAGAAGGCCGATGAGCCAACTCCAAGGATTACAATGCAAACGAATGAGTGAAGGAAGCGAATGAAAAGGCGAAGCGCATCGGAGAAGGCTAATCAGCCAACTCTCAGAGATAGAGCATGACTAAGAATATATAGTCAGACAAATATAAGACAGACATGTGACAAGCGAAATAGGCACATATGAATAAAGGCGACGAATAGTTGACAAGGTCAAATGACAAGTCGGACACGACGTCATGTGAGCTCATCATACAAACCAGACAATAATAAGAACGAATGGTACATACAAATTGTTGCGATACAAATAAATGACTTGGTTAAACAAATTAATCGAAAGGGCTTAACCTAATTAGAGATGTCAGGGAACTGGAATATAATATGTGGAGGCACTGCAGTGTCAATCAAGTTAATTTTTTTATCATTATCTTTCGCCTTTTTTCGTTTTAAACTTATTTAGATCCTATCTTGAATAGTATTAAAACTGCTGGTTGGAGTGCAGAAAATGTTAGTTTCGGTAGTGGCGGGGCATTATTACAACGTTTAAATCGTGATACACAAAAATGTGCTTTTAAATCAAGTTTCGCCGTAGTCAATGGTCATGAGGTAAATCGATATTCATAATGACAATAATAATAATAATGTGTATGACGTTTTAGATAAATATTCAAACTGTAATCAAAAACTCTTATCATTAATAGGGAAAAAATACTCCGAAGCATAGGGATACAACGTGTATGAATAATCGTAATTCAGACCTTTCACTATAGAGTTATAGAGAATGTTGTTTATCATTGTTGAACTCGTGAATACGAGTTTACGTAGTCGGAAAACGAGAGTGAGGATCGAGGATCCTGTGACACGACATGCTACTCAAATCCGATTATCCCAACCCCCATATTGAGTAAAAATAAAGACGACTGATATATGATATGAAGTAGAACCCGTATTCTACAAGCATCCAGAAGAAGAATCAGGATCCCGGACTAGGGATCCGGGACCGGGTAATGGTCCTGGTCATAAACGTTACACATAATGCGCATCTATACAT